AGTCTCAAGTTAGCGGGGCCACAACTGTTTGGAGAAGGGCGTTGAGTGTTGGCAGAGAGCACAGAGGTGAGAGGAACCGGAGGCGCGGAAGGGCCTTGTGTTGGTGCCTTCAGACGGTGTGTGCAGCGCGCAGGCAGGACCCTGACTCACTGGCGCATGGATAATGTAGGAGAGAGTATCCCGCGGCTAAGCTGCACTTAACAGCACATTGATTTCAAACCCCTGTGTTCCCTCTGGAGGGCAGTGGGATGTACCTCAACAGGCCGGACCCCCCTTGTTTTTCCCCCCTTCCCACTTTCCCCCTCTGACCACCGCCACCATTTACCATCTCCACAACCTTCCCCTCCCACTCTATACCCATCCCTGTGTCGATTTGGGTACACCATGCTGGTCACTGGCCTCTACTCCCCCCTCCTCCTCGGATTGTCCCGGAGGAGTTGAACAGGATTCAGGGGCACTAAGGCTCCCGCAGGACTGTGGTCTTGAGAGCAATGTTTGGGGTAGGGCATGCAGAGGCAGCCGGGTGGAAAAGATCTGTGGTCAAAATCAATGCATTGGCACTTTGAGGGAGCGCTCCAACAGATTTGGGAATTTCACATTCTCTTCCTTCTCTCCTGGCACCCTCAGAAGGCCTCACCACTGGAGAACAAACAACATCCACTAAATCTTCTGGGGAAAGGGAACTCTTAACTTCTACAGCTTCTGGGACAAAACATGACACAGTCAATATTCATTTGGTGGCTTGTGCCTCACATGTTAAACTCTCCAATCTGTCGCCTCTTGCTGCTCACAGCAAAATTAAAAATATCTGCTTCACATCACCTTGTTTTTTTACTGGATATTACATTTGAAATTAAGAGACAAAGGTTGCAATTCTTCCACTACAGTAAGTTCAGTACAGTTGCACTCTTCCACTTTTTCCTTTTCTAAAGCTTTGAAAGAGAAAACTTTCTTTCTCATCATCACCACACCTTGCAGTCTGCATGTCTTTACGTGAGTCCCAGCACAGGTGGATGCCAGTGTGGTGCTTCTTCCACTTGTGTAACTTCTGACTCATCTCCCAGCTGCATTGTGCAGATGCATGTTTTAGGAGCGGTACACAGCACACTTCTTTGTGCGCTAATGGGCTCTCAGCATCTTTAAGACTCAGGGTACAATTAAGAGGTGATAGTTTGATCTCCCACCTCGCAGCTCTATTTCTGAGCTGCCGCGTGATTATGCCGGAGGTTGCTGGGCGGGTGAGGAACGGGCTCTATTTAAAGGAAGACACCCATGAACTCTTCTGAGAAAGAACAGACTACTTTTGGTTTTTGCACCTGTCTGATTTCTATTCTAACTGTATTGTATCCTTCTAGAGTCAAGTTTATGACAGGATCACAATGTGATTTTGCATTTATTCACATGACTGAGGGTGTTCTCTATTATTATGGCAGAAGTAAGCTTTCGATTTTTCAGAGTCTGAATTAAATTCCATACTTATGGAAGAAAAGTTATCCTAAAATGATTTCTTGGGCTGGGTCATTGAAGGTATTTGCAAAAGCCAAGATTATTTCATCATGTACCAGTACCAACCATATTTAACACCAAAGCGCAAAATGCATTCTTTCATCTAAAGCTTTGTTTGTTTTCCATGTTTTTTTAATGGTTTAAATAGTCATCAGATCTATTACAGGTGATGTCATTTTAATAACTATGTCGCCTAAATGATCAGAGATAAAAGAGAACTGAAACTATTTCCTCTAAAGAGTGAGGTTGATATAGTATGTTCATTTCTCACAGCCAACTGCTATCTTAAATTGCCAGAGAGAATTGGTTGATACAACATTGCCATCTGCTGGTGAAAATGTATCATTACACAGTTAGTTGTTGCATCAATTTCTAATACATGATAAGAAAAGATAGTTTCATAGAAGTTGGATGATAAGCCTGTGTCAAGAGTTTGTAGGATGGCTTGTAGGTGTTTGTGCAAATACTGTGCATTACTTTGATGTGGATCCAGCTTCTAAAGCAACATAATATCACAGATGAAAAGGCAGTGACAATTGTACTGCAAGACAATTGTTTAGCTTTCAGTCTTTTTTGCCCACCTTTTTTAAAGGTCCCACATTGTAGAAAGTGAGCTTTCTGTGTCTTTTTGATTATAAACAGGTCTAGGTGCTATATAAATACTGTGAAAATATCAAAACGTTCGATCCACGGAGAAATACACACAGCCTGTATTCAGAATCTGCTCCTTAAAACGAGCCGTCAGTACTTCTGTAATTTTGTGGTGTCCCAACCAGAGGCGGAAACAATAATTCAAGCTGGGAATTCGAGTCCATTCCAGGCCACTCTGTTCTCGCGAACCACCAGACCGCTAATTTTGCAGGCTAACCCTGTTTGTTGATGTAATGGGCTACCAGACTATTTAGAAATTTGGCCACTATGTTCGTCTAAGAGGAAAGTTACCCAGATTAAAAAACCAAAGCATTTGGGACTGAACAACAAATATAAAAAATATATTCAAATACAAATATTATTTTTTAAACATTTTAGCAAATGCATGTTATTAAAGGAGGGAATGGAGGCTACATATGTATTATGTAGTCACAGCAGGAAGCCAGTGCAGGCTATAATTATATTATGGCAGCAAGTTGAAAGACATTAGGTGAAGGGTAGTAGTTTTCATGTGTGGTTTCTCTCTCTCTCTCTCTCTCTCTCTCTCTCTCTCTCTCTCTCTCTCTCTCTCTCTCTCTCTCTCTCTCTCTCTCTCTCTCTCTCTCTCTCTCTCTCTCTCTCTCTCTCTCTCTCTCTCTCTCTCTCTCTCTCTCTCTCTCTCTCTCTCTCTCTCTCTCTCTCTCTCTCTCTCTCTCTCTCTCTCTCTCTCTCTCTCTCTCTCTCTCTCTCTCTCTCTCTCTCTCTCTCTCTCTCTCTCTCTCTCTCTCTCTCTCTCTCTCTCTCTCTCTCTCTCTCTCTCTCTCTCTCTCTCTCTCTCTCTCTCTCTCTCTCTCTCTCTCTCTCTCTCTCTCTCTCTCTCTCTCTCTCTCTCTCTCTCTCTCTCTCTCTCTCTCTCTCTCTCTCTCTCTCTCTCTCTCTCTCTCTCTCTCTCTCTCTCTCTCTCTCTCTCTCTCTCTCTCTCTCTCACTAGTTCTTGCTCTTAACTAGGGTAAACAAAATTAAGGTGACTACTTCTTGGTTACAACTCTTCACTTTTCAGATAATTCCATAATAATGAAATGACACATTCTATTATTGATGGCCCTTATCAAAGGCAGCAATGTTTAAAGACAGAGCTGGCAGTAGCAGTGCCGCAGAGGCAAGGCTTGCAGTATGGCCACACATATGCGTGTGAGCCGCAGCAGTTTAGCAAGGTAGCCTTCATGCACAGGTGAGGTAAGCAATGTGCCCCAGATGTGAGTGTCGTGCCTGAGGTCCATCACCTCATTGCTTGCTACAGTATATTATCGCTGAACAAGTTGAATATTCACGGCAGGGCAAAATGACCCAGGCCACCAGGAAGTGTCCAGGTGTTCCTGATGTGCTCTCTGCCACTGGTCACAACTATACAGTCACCACCCCAACATGACCCACCATTTAACCTTTTTTTTTGTTCTAACTTTATTAACAACACAACACCAAGCAGTTATCATGCCATATGTACAAGCTAGCAAGCTACAAGGTAGAAAGGAAATGGAGGGAAATGCTGCACAATCATTGGGTGGCAGGAAGCCAATACATCAGTGCACAGCCTTCCCAAGTATAGTTATATTAGAGACCAGTGGCTAAAGTTTTTTGTTTTTTTGTGAAATACCAGAGCATTTTATTCCAAATGTGACTGTGTGACTGTGTGTCTGTTTGGCTAATTTCAGCGCTAAGTGACTATCATCACTTGCAATTGCCTGTGAGTCTTACCAAACTAAAGTGGTGGGCTACAATCCTTTACCTGTGGTTGGCCTGGCCCTGCATAACTCAGAAAACAGTCAGCCAATCAGAAGAGAGACTCAGTGACTGACACAAAATGCCCTGTTCTTCCTAGAGCTCTAGAAAGAAGCGTGCGTGAGGAGATGTTAAGCTATATTGAGATTGTTTTTGGTAATTATAACCACAAATGTATCCTCTTATGAATATCATGACTGGAACAACACTGGAAAAGGGTAAAATGTAGGACCTTTGAATTTTTTTCAAATTTGAGAGCATCCAAGTTAGCTTATATAAGATTTAAAAATCTATAGTGTGTGAAGGGTTAGCCATAAGCATACTACATTCTCATCACATTCTCTGCTGTCATCTAACTCTTGTGATTTCATTATATTTAGAAGTTAATAACAGGTCACAACTAAACATCTTCCTAAAATAGGCTGTTGCCTTAAACTGTTTCTCTAATCTTAATTTCACCTCAAAGACCCAAACAGTCATTTTGGACAATATAAAATACATGTAGGCTTTCTCAACTGTCACAAATGAGAATGCAAGTGCAACTGCTCTATTAATATTGTAAACAAATCTCATCAAATGGTAGCTTTAAAGTTAAAAGTAAAATATTTGATCTAGAAGCAAATTCTGTATTCTGTATCTGCTAGTTCTTCGTCTTTATTCACGCTATATTGTAGCCTACTATAAAATTCCAACCAAGATAAAATACGTTATTATGGTTGGCATGGGTCATTTACATATCTCGCTAGTTTATTATGGCATACAATTTGGGAATCTAGACTTGAGTCAAATAAAATTTTGCGTATTTCAACAGTTCTCGTATGCCCAACTTACATTTGAAGTGATAGAAGCCCAAGTAGTCCCAGCAGGGTCACAGGGGTTAAAACAACACTCTTAACACGAAAGTCCCGCTTAAGACTTTGAGGCGTCAAAGGCATATATCCCGCCCTTATCGTTACGTTCTTAGATTTGATTGGCTAAGAATGCCGGGTATTGAAAGCGTATTGGCAATCAATCACTGTCAGTCATTTTATGGGCGTGTCCTCACTGCGTCGTTAGGGAAAGCACAGCCAGCCAGTCCACACAGTTTTGACAAGTGTCACCCGGCTCGGTCTCTTACACACGTCAACCGGCAAAGAAAGAGCTAACGGTGGACAGAAACTCGGCGGCAGGTGAAATGGACGAACCTTCGGAACAAATGAGACCCCTTCTGAGAACAGTAAGTCCCCGCCCGACACAGTTAACCGCTAGCCCACCATTATTTGTGTGTGGCTCTTTGTCCGTGTTTGCCCCTTGTTTGGCAAGCAGCCGTAGAAGTACTAGGGATGCTTGGGACTCAGATCCAGTGAGGCACCATCCGGCGGCTGCTATTGTTAGCCGGCTTTCTACTTCTGACACGTGGCATGGGTACAAGTTGTGTTGGGGATCTCTTGTTAAGGTCAGCGAAAACGTTCATTCAAAGATACATTTAGTAGGAAATCGTTTCTCAGTTTTCACTTGGTTAGTTAAGTCACCGTCATTTTTTTCAGATAGCAATTGACAATGAATTAGCCAGGCACGAGCAGTCAAGACCTTAGTGAAGTTGTAACCGTTCTTAACCGTTCTTAACCGTGGTGAGATTAAAAGATGTCCCGTTAGCTGGCTAGACTGGTCAACTGTGTGTTCACTTACTTTAATGAACTAAAACGTACACATGAGTAGATAGAAAAGTCTTTGGAGTTGCCTGAGTAGGTCTGGCAATTGTTTCTAATGCCTGTAACTGACTAATAGTAGCGTTACATAGATTTATAGCATTTTTATCTGCAAGTTCAACCGTCGTGTTCCAACTACGCAGTTGATAAGAGCTGCTGGTACATTTACTGAAATAAAAGGCTTATTTGCATGTCAAATGTGCCCAAAATAGGTCCGCTTTCATGTATGACATTTCCAAGTCAGGAAATGCTGCTAATTTTACCGTGAAAGCTTGTGCGGCTTGACAAGAATGATGCACATGGAACTGAAAGAGAAATTTTATTTTTCAGAATGTCTGAGACATGAGTTACAGAAGGTTACATCTACCAAACTCTGGTCTATGTGATGTTTTAACTGAGTTGTGGCTGACAGTGGAGACCCACATCCTGTCTGTTGGGTGTAACTTTACATTCACAGATGGGATGATGAGCATCACACACTCATCAGTGTTAGCAAGCCCAAAAAAGAAACTGGTGGCAGAGTCAAGTTTAAAATGCAAGCTGACTTTCTGACATCAATGCTGTTATAAGGCTGTCCACTACTAGGTTTGTGTGTGTGTGTGTGTGTGTGTGTACACGTGTGTACCTAGGTATGCATGTGTGTGCATGTATGAACATGTGCATGCATCTGGGGAAACTTGACCCCCCCCACCCCCCCGCTGTTTAGTGAAAATGAGTTGTTGGGTAGCTGCCCATTTCATCCCTAGGCATTAAAGTCAATGTGTGAACTGTGACACAGGACCCTCCAGGCAGTAATCCAACTGCTTGATGCCTAATTAAATCTCATACCCTAATAAAGGCTTATTATATGTTCACCCATCAAAATACACATTCCAAAGAACATAGCATTGTTCAGCTTTGAGTCGGACATTCAGCTAGTTTGTGCATGTTTAAAAAACGTGAATGTGGTTACAACAGGGCACTCTTGTTATTTTCAGGCTTGCTGGTTGACCAGCGCTGTTGCTAGGAAAGTGAATCATTGCTGTTCATTTAAAACCAAGTTTTAGAGTCATACCAAGAGTGAACTAATTTCATGTGATGTAATTGAATGGTTGTTGTTCTGATGCTTTTAGGCCACAGATGATCATCTCAGGCTGTGTTTGAAGTATTTATAGAGGGCTACTTACAGGGCTTTGACTTTATGTTTAGGTGACCTGTGTTAGTCTGATTGTTAGAGATAAGTTTAATACAATTTTGTAACAGAATAATTGTAATGAGTATTTTTTTTCTGGCTATGTTTTGCATATTTAACCTGTATGATGAGTGCTTTGTGGCCAGAGAGTACTGGTACCATAATCTAATGTGTCTGGTTTCTAACTTACTGGAAAGATGGGTTGGCTGTGGAAAGGGTGGGGATCTACAGAAAGAAATAATGCATTTAGCTTAAATGCATTATTGTCTAGTAGAGCCAAGTTTAGTGAATTTGTCTAACTTAGCCCACATACCAAAAAGTGCTATACCAGGGGCTTGCATGTCTTGAGGTTATATTTTATTCAAAAACAGCAACTAAAAGTTGTCAAGTAATAATCACATTCAGAACTCTCACAGACCATGACTCATTGTAATGACTTAATATGAATCACCAGCTTTCCCTTAAAGGATTCCCTGTCTTTGCATTTGGTCCATGTGTCATAGTTTGCCTAACTTTCTGCCATTGACACTGTCTGGTTCTACAGTATGAGCTTTCATTGAATTTTACGGCAGGTGTTTGCCAGCTCGCCAGGAGGAAAGGCATTTATGCATCCTGCGGTCCCACTACTGAAAGAGGGTTTTAGTCCACCCAGTGTGGGCTCTCTGACCTGGTCTATTATTGGCTCAGCACTTATTGCCAGGGTTAGTGAGTGTTTTATAAAGTTAAATCACTGTACAGCATAGCTATGAATGGGTAATTACACAGAATGAACATCTGTGCCAGTCTGATGGTGCTCTGTTCTGTTCAGCAATGCTATTATGATAATATGATAAAAGAAATAATTAATTCCTACAGTACCCAGCCATAGGCTAATACACAGACAGCAAGCCTGTTCTACCCAGTCTACTTTCTGTAGAATGTGTTGTACTTAAAGAAAGTTGGATGTGATTAAACAGTACAACAGGCCACAAGCTTTTAAGTGCTTTTTGCAGGCAGTGATTAGGTTAACTACATAAAATATTAATTGTCCTGTAGTTTGTTTTTGACTCAAAGATAAAGCTGTATTTCTGTTTGAGATATTTTAGCTTATCCACTGGAAGGCAATACATTTGCCAATCATTTCTAAATTCTGTGTGCCTCACATTCACATATTTCAATACATTTATAATTGGGAGCTGCCCTGTAAAGCTACAGCTTTCCACTGGAGGTAACAGACTTGCCTTTATTGTGTTGCCCATCAGCAGTTGCTGTGGAGGTAGGGCACAGTGTTCATTTCCTTTAGCCACCCACTTTTTCTCCTGCTAGTCACAAGATTCAAAACAGCAACATTTGATCACAAGCCTACTTTTATAACCACCAGATAATTACTGGGAGGTCTTTGATTTGAGCCCTTTACTGTGACTGAAACTCTTTCTGAAGCTTGTGTATGTACAAAACAATGCCATTGGAGATAATTTTATGAAATTAAAAGACAGAAGCACAGAGCAAAGGACCCAGGATTGTACTATTCTAAATAGTATTCTGCTTTGTCTACCATTTCTACAGAGAGAACCTGAAAGCCCATTCAATTACAGGAGAACTTAAGAAAAAAACTTATTAACCCCATTACACTGCTAAGTGTTGTCTTGATGGTTGCATAAAATGGGAGCTTGGTTTTGTGGGGGATGGTGATGTAAACTGGGATGGATAATGGATCTGAGACATTGAGAAGAAGTTCCCCAAGGCTCTGTCTGAGGAACACAGTAAACACTGGAGCAAATGGTGTGAATGCAACCCTATGTCAAAGAAAATCTGTCTGCCTTATCTTATGAGAAGCAGCATTTGAATAAAAGTTTTAGTCAGTTATTCTTTACACAGCTGTTCTTTCACTTTTCACATCTGAACAACACAATGAATGACTTCAAAGAGAGACTGTCTGAAAATGTGTCCTCATATTTGAAAAATATAACATTCACCATGACTTAGAGTGTGACCGGTCAGAGCAGCTATGGACACTTTTGATCTCAATTTTGGTTGATTGACACGTTGTGCAAACCAGATATGTTTTAGCATAACCTGGCCTTACTCTCTTGAACACTGTTGTTTAGTTTAGAGCTGAAACAGTTGATTAATTGGATCAGGAATCAGGACAGACTAATAAGAGGAACATAAGAGTATGAGAAATTTAAAGTAAAATGGAATTTATAGTGAACAGAAGGAATAGACTTTGGCGCTTAGACTCCAGGCAGGAAGTAGATCACCATGGGGAATGACCCATAGGAGTAAGGTGCTTCGTAATAGAGGAAACGTCCCCCAGAGCAAAGAAACTAGTGGTGGTGGTGAAGAGGAATGGAGCTTGAGGATGGGATTATCTTCATAAGTGGGAAACTTCTGATTGGATGGTTTGATTTGAGATAGTCAAGCATCCATGGTTGATGTAATGAACGGGTGGAGGTGGGTCACAAATTCGTTGCAATGTTTATGAGTAATTGGCTAAAGGCCACTGCGTCAGGTTGTGATTAGATGAAGATGAGACTGACCTGGTGGGGCTTAGAGATAGCGGGAAACGTGCTTGTGACTTAGAAGGCATGTGTGAGGAGATTGTCTTCCTGACTGAACTTTTGCTAAGCTTTATTAAAGAAAAAAATGGATCTGAGACAACAATTTTGATAATTGATTAAACTGTTTTTTGCTTTTTTTTTTTTTTTTTTTGGTGTTTCATAGACTAAATGATTAATAAGTTAAGCAAAAAAAGAAACTTAAAATTCCACCGCCAGCTGCTTACTACAACAGATCAACAAAATACTATAGGATTCTAATACGAAATGTCATAGAAAACCATCAAAGGGTTATATCTCATTGTGCAGAGCAATTCTGTTGTCATTTAAATTGCTTTACTCTGCTTTACATATTTTAATATAGGCAGATAGTAGCCAACCACAAGGACCCATGAAGATAAAGATACATTTTTAATAAAATGTTTGCCACTGGCAGAATTTGTATTTGATTCTAATTTTCCACAGACTGTGTTGAGTTTTCCAGTAACAATATTACATGGCTTTGCTTTTTTCTTCTTCTCTTGACACATTACATCCACTGAACTAGCTGTTGGTATACAGCACCAGGGCATTTGACTTAAGGGACAGCTCGTACCATGTGCTGGCCATGGAGATACAGATCTTAGGCTGCTCTTGCTGCAATCTAATTATATGATTATACCAATGCACACTACTGTAAAAAGTTGTATATAGAAGAGTTGAAACAATTATTAGATTAGCTAACATGTCATCTGACAGAAAATCAAATTATTTTGGTAATTATTCATTTAAGTGATTAATTCAGGGGAAAAAAAAGCCAAACTATTGATAGATCCAGCTT